TATAGTCACAGGCAACTGCATAGCAACTGATAAATCAAGGAGTAACAATTGAAATCTCTATTAAAATTTGCCAATTCTGGATCCAAACCGCCAGTTTTGCATCTCCTCTGCCCCCATGCCATTTACTTAAAGATAAATAGATGAGACAAAGCAGATTAAATTACACACAGAATTTCTGTACTTTTGGGGCTACCTTTCACTGTTTGAAAAAAGAAAATGGACAAATTCTGAGGAGTTCTTTCTTCCTACCCTTAAAAGTTATGATTTGCAGGGTATAGAAATATTCTCCAAAATGTTTTCTCTAATGACTTACAATGATATCTGAAATTTACATTTTTGTGATTCCTATGGGTGGCTAAATGTAGATATAAATAGGTAGATGTAGATACAGCTTTAAATAGGAAATATAGATATTGATAAATATTTTATCCCTGGGGAAAAAAACAAAGTTGCTTCAAACAGCTTATCAGAGGAAGGCCCTGAGGTGATGGATTGATAAACTGAGAGGTGAATGTGTTTGTGTGTATGCATGTGTGTGTGTGTTTTAGATGGGGGCAGTAGAAGAAAGAGGGGCATTAATGGTTCTGTGGCAGAATTCTCTCCTTCCATGTGGGAAGCCTGGGTTTGATTTCCAGCCAGGGCACCTTATGTGTAACTACCACCCATCTGGTACCAGAGGTTGTAGTGGTGCTCTGATGCCAAACAGATTTCACTGGAGCTTCCAGACTAAAACCAACTAGGAAGGAAGGCCTGGCAATCTGAAATCAGCCATTCAAAACCCTATAACTCACAATAGTTTCCTCCTCAACAAGTCATGTGGAAGGCACAAGACCAGACAGATTGTATTCAACTGTATGTGGGGTTGCCATGAGTCAGGGGCCAACTCAATGGCAGTTATCAACAACAACAATAAAAGAACTGGAAAAACAATGGTGTCTCAAGGGACCTAGGTCAGGTCTGGAGCAACAAAGTTCAGGGAAGCCTGAATATAACAGATGGGGATTTATGGCACTAGGACAAGGGCATAAAAGATGAAAAAGGTATAGAGGCAAGTTCCTTCCCTCACTACATTTTCTTATCTTGGTGTTTTGGTTTCCTAGAGCTGTTCTAACAGACAAACCACTGGTGGGTGGCTTTAACAAACAGAGGTTTATTGTCTTACAGTTTCGGAGGCTAGTTCAAAGTGCCAGCTCTAGGGGTTGGGTGAAGACTCCTGGACACTGAGCTTCAGCTCTGCCTCTTACTCCCAGCCCACTGAAGCTTCTCTTAACTCAGGGAGCTGCTGGCTGCTGAGGCTAACAAAATCAAGGTCAACAAATAAAATGTTACAGTCCCAAGATTACCAAACAACATGGCAGGCCATTAGTTCAAGTCCAGAGGCAGTCCCAAGATCGTCAGGAAATATGGCAGCCTGCTGATTGGAGACTTGGCTACACACAGAGTCCAAGCACGCCAAAAAAGCTGCAGAGCCATTTCTCTATGCTTCTTCTTGTATACTGGAAACAGACCACATCCCCTAAGGCAGCTACTCAGCTGCTCCAGTAGAGTCAGTCCACTAAGGAGGTGATTACCAGCATCATCATGGGAAAGAACTACATCCAGCGGCTCAGCCACCCAAAACCAAGCCCAGCCATGTTGGCACACAGCTTAACTACCACAATAGGTGTGTATTGTCCACACAGTCATCGACAGTTGAGTACTTTGAAAATCAGAAACCAAAGTACAATTTGCCCCTTCTAATGTGTGAGGCAGCCAGGATATATGTGTAATTTAATTTTAGCTATTCAGTATGTCATGCTCAAGAGTTGAAGGAGGCTTTCAAAAATAAAATTTAAACCTGAAAATAATTTTCTTTATTGGTTCCAAGTGCTTTTTAAATTACACTCTGTACTTTGAGGTGTATCATACACATGTCCGTTGCTGCATTTCTGGAGTTTTGATATCTGTAGCTACCAAAATAATAACGCTTGTTCTTCCTAGGAAGAAAGTCTTCGAAATTTACAAACCAATTTCATAGAAATTTTCACTGTTGAGAGGATATATCTGTGAAGAAATAGTCTATCAATTAATTTTTAAATGTCAG